TTGGAAAATGTCTAGAGGCAAAACAGTAAGACAGCAAGAGCAACTATAAAAGTTCAAAATTCATTTGGCCACCATTTTAAATGTATGTTTTAACTGTATTGTATATTGGTGATCAGCATGTTTTTTTTAGATAATTCTTAGCTACTATCACACAAGATTTCAGCTCATTGTTTCTTAAAACTGCTGAATTGGAGACATTTGAAACTGCCTGTGGTGGCCATCTTGACTTTTCAAATCCAGGATCGTGTACTTTATTTATGTGTTTCCCCCCCCTAAATAACGCCTTGGCCACCCCTGTTCCATCTCTTGCAAAAAAGTCTAGCTTTGCCCCAGGACTTTTGTTGTTTTGCACACACCTTTCACAGCCCCTGAGATACACGATACTGAGCTCCTGGGAAATCCCTCCAGCTGTAGTATTCATCTTTGCACTGGGTTTTCTTACAGCTGGAGTCTACACTCCGGAAAAAAACAAACTCTGATTTCCATCGTGCATTTGTCTACAAATCTGTCCTGGTTAAAACTGTACAGTTTTTATCAGATAGATTCCTCCGTGCACAATGTCTGTTCTGTTTGCTTTATCTCCATCCATGACATTTGACTATCTTTATTAATGTCTGCTTCCGGGTACAACAGTCGGATTCTGGAAGCTAGTAGATGAAGCAAAACGCAGCGGCTGAGAACTTTCAGCATAAACAAACACGACCACAAACGATGGGGGCCTCGTCCTCAGTAATGAGGGTATTGTGTCAGTCGGTCGTGGTGAGTTGAAAGGCAAAGCTCTCCACTTACAGGTCTATCTTTGTTCCAACCCTCACCTAGTCATGAGGCATGAATCATGACCGAATGAATGAGATACAAGTGGCTGAAATGAGCTTCCTTCGTGGGGTGACCGGGCTCAGACTTAGAAATAGAGTGAATAGCTCTGTTTTTCAGCAAGAGCTCGGAGTAGAGCTGCAGGACCAGGACGCTGTAGTCTGGGAACGTCTCAGAGTCCCCCAGAAAGTGTCACTCAAGAAAAGAATGTCTGGATTTCTCTCCTAGAGCTGTTCATTTCCCAGCAGAAACTCCTTACAGCTGTCAGCACAGTGGTGGAGGGGTGATGATTGGAGCTCCTTGAAGTCATAGAGTCGACCTGACTCCACCACAAACTCTTCTGTAGACCAAAGGATTCTGGGGTCAAATGTGAGTCCATCTGTTTGACAGCTGAAGCTTGGACTAAACTGGGTCTAAAAGAACAATGGGCCTCATGCAAGGACATGTTCATATTCTTATCCTAAATTTCTCTTACTTTTGTTCGTACAAAGGGTTCGTACGAACATGTCACGTCAGATTCAACAAACTCTTCTATCTTCAGGAAAAGTGTGTAAATGAGCTGCGTAAATTCCACCTGCATCCAGCTGCTCATGCACGCGAGAGGAGATTAGCATAATTACCACCCCAAAAACATCATATAAGGCTATGTTTCCTACCTCAGATATCAGTAAGTGTCCATTCATGAAAAATGACAGCGAAAACTAAAAAGAACTTTACGAGTTCAGAGACTGAAGTCCATCTGTCAGAGATCCAGAAAAGAAAATCTGTCATTTTTAGCAGCTCAGCTGTGGAACAAAAGGAGCTGCTAAAAGTATAAATAACTGTGTTAAATCATTTTCATTTTTTCAGAAGCCACGGCGCTGCGCACCGTACACCCCTCCCCACCCCCCGCGCGCGCAGAGCGGTCGCAGGTGGTCTCAGATGTGGTTCTGAAATAAGCATTTTAAAATGTTTTCAAAATATGTCTGACACTTAGGAGAAAACCCAGGACTCGCTGGAGGGATTATGTTCCCCTCTGGCCTGGGAACGTCTTGGAGTCCCCCAGGACGAGCTGGAAATTGTCGCTGGGTAGAGCGGGGTCTCTCTGCTGCTGCCACCGATAGCAGATAAGCCAGCCGGACGGACAATTTATATTGTTAGTCTAAATTATTACATTTAAAATTATAACTCTAATTCAAGCAGAATAGCCTATTGTCAACATACAGTAATTATGGAGTGTGATTTATTTTCAACTCAAAATATCTTCAAACTAACGAAATATAAAGTTATTAGTGAAGAAAACCTGTCTGGATAACAGCAGAATGACTGCTCGTAAAATATACGACAGGTCTGGACCACTCGTAAATTTTGTTCGTATCTGAAAAAAATCTTAGAATACGAAAACATTGGTGAATGCCACAAATTCTCCTAAATCACTCGTACGCACAACTTAAGAACAAATCTGTGCATACGAACGGTTCTTGCATGAGGCCCACTGATCCCAAACACAGCATTTATCTACAGCAGAAAATAAATTATACTATGTCCTGTTTCGTAAAACACTACGATTAAAAGAAGTACCATTTATTTCCTATGGCTGAACGTGTAGGCTTTAGATAATGTATGAGCAGGAACATGTTGCATTTCTGGCAGACTTGCTTATCTTGCACCGGAGGGTGTCTGCTTGGAGGAAGATGAAAGCATTTTACTGCCCCATCAGAGCTTTCCCTCTGTCATCTGAAGAAGGCCTCATTATAAGACCATAAATGTCTAACCTCGAGAAACAAATGAATTATGTGCAGCAATGTGAATATCTCTGCTGTCAACCCAAACATGTGTTCTAGGTGTGATGGCTGATGAATGGCTGAAAAAGGGTTGTCTAAAGGATTATGTAATGCTGTATAGCTCGTTAAAAAGACTAAACTGTGTTTATGCCAGAATCTGAAGCATCTGTTGTTGGCTACTCTGCTCTAACAGTTTCATTGTGCGGTGGTTCACTTGTAAGGATTGATCTTAGTTGGGAAGTATGCTTAGTAATAAAGATGATAAATGGCTTAGCTGCAGTGTTTCTTTGAGCCAAATACTAATAACAGAAGGCTAACCTGTTTCCAGACTAAAGAAGTGGTTGCCATGCTAGTTAAAGTTTTAAGCTGCACACTTAAATCAGAAAAACTGCTGAACTGCAGGCAAAACTGAGGTTATCCCACATTAAAGAAGTCTTAAACAGCTCTGATATGTAACCTGACAGACCTGATGATTTGTCACAGAAGACCACTGAGGATGCCGTCCACAAAAACCCTGAGGTGAAGTAGTGGAGCATTTGTCAGATGGTTTTAAATTAGAAGTTTTTAATTGATCAATCTGGATAAATTAGTGTTAAATAACCTAAAGTTCGTACTTCCAAGTTTTAAGCAGGAAAATAAAACACAAGTATGAAACTCAAAGTTAGATTTTTGGATGAGAAAATTGGAGCTCAGCTCTGAAATTTCCAATATGACTGACTCCAACATAAAAATGGTAATAGCTTTAGTTTAGAACTTTTTAATTTATTTTCTGTCAGTTTGTAGCTCATTGATTTAATCACATACCATCCATTAATATTCCATCTATTATCTGACACTTGTTTGGGAGTTAGATTGTGGAGGCAGCAGCTTGAGAAGGAAGGCCCAGACTTCTCTGTCCACAGCCCATTCTTCCAGGAGGACTCCAGGGCATTCCCAGGCCAGCTAGGAGACTGTGGCTGTGGCTCAGTTCAGGGGCCACAGTCCACGTAGTGAGTATTTGTAGGCCGGTTAAGTCATTGCACTGCTCTGAAGGCTGTCCCATTTCAGGGGCTCTTTCTCATGCCAAATGCAGTCCTCAAAATCCTGAAAACCAAAGATACATCTGATTATCCTTTGTGGCTCACAATAATTCAGGATTTGTTGTGCTGTCAGAAAACTTTGCAGGAAAAAGAAAAAGGCAGCGTTTGGGAAGTCATCACGGACCGAAAAAAATTGCTATATGGCAACTTAGCTGATGAAATTACAAGTACAGAGCTAAATTATTAATGACTTTTGTGACGTTACATGTAACGTTTTTAAAAATACATTGAATTTTGTGAAGTTATACTTCCTGTGAAAAGATGTGTGGATACATGTTCCAAGTTTTAGACTTTTGTGGGTGATGTGATATAAAACGTAACACTATTTTATTGTTTTTAATGTTTGTTATGTGCTTTTTTTTATTTTACATGTATGGCCCTTTGTTACACCTGTGGTTATTTTAAGGCACTTTATCAATAAAGTAGTAGTAGTAGTTGTAGTTGTAGTAGTAGTAGTAGTAGTAGTAGTAGTAGTAGTAGTTGTTGTAGTAGAAACAGTATGGTAACAGGGTAGTGTGTGGTCATGCAAACATTCGTCATCCAAATACTAGACATTATTTAGCCTAACTGTGTTTTGAGCACGTGGCCTTCATGGTCTGTGGTCTGTGTAGGCTGCATTGGTGCAACCCCTGAACTGAGATAGTCTCTCCAGCTTGTCCAGGGTCTTCAAGGTTCTCCTCCCAGTTGGAGATGCCGGGAACACCTTGTGTAGGGAGCAGAGGCCCAAACGCATCACCTCAACTGGCTCCTGTTGATGTGGAGGTGCAGTCTCCCTCATCTGGTCTGAGAGTCCAGCAGCTAAACAGTGGAGAAAACTCCTACTGCAACTCCAACTACTTTGTTTTGTGAACTTGTTTTTTCAGGTATTGTGAAGTGGACCCATGGAGAGCTTTGCAGCTCAGCTCCCTAATCACCACAATGCACAAAGTTTGAAATACTGAAGCCGCACCGAAAAGTTGATTTATTTCCCTTTTGTTCTTTTTTAAGTCCATTTTTTATGAAGAAAACAATGCCATTGGTTTCAATATGTATCTTGCACTTTTACTATATTTGTTTAGAAGAAAAAAATCAATGATATTATTATTTTTAATAGTAACACTTAAATGACAATTGAAAACTAGTGTAAAATATCAACACCGCTGTTTAAATAATTGTTTAATTTATTTAATTGTGTCGGACACAGACGGAGGGGGCGGGGCTTGCTTCAGAGATTGAGCGTTTTCAGCTCCTCCCCGAGGGTGAAAGCGCGCGTTCGTTCGAGCACGTTCGCCCCAGCGTGAGCGCGCGCGTGCGTGTCGAGCCAGAGCAGAGTCAGCTGGTCGGAGAAGGGAGGGAGACTTTGGGGGTGGCGGTGTGGTGGTGGTGGGGGGGACAAGGTGAGGACGGCTCGGCAGCGGACATAGCGTATTTTTTATTTATTTATTTATTTTTTGCGGGGGGAGGAAACAGTTCGTCCCGAGACTCAGCCGCGGACGGTCGAACCCGAACCCTGTGCGTCCTGGACCCAAGTCTTGGAGCCTCGTCGTCCTCTTACGGAACAGTAAGCACTTTGAGTTTTTGTTTCGGAACTAGTCTCTCTCCATATGGCTGCGCACTGCTGGACGCTCACTGGGCGTGCAGAAGTCGTTAAATTTACCAGTTTTAACTCTCAGAAATATATAAATAGGCTTATTATAGTTGTCTGTTTTAATTATCTGCCCCTGTTTGACCGTGTCAGAAAGTGTAGGTTTTCACTGCACACATGAAGGACCACCATTTTCAACAGAAACTTATTTTCCTAATCAGCTACCTGACTCGGGTCACGTGCTTTGGTCCTGGTGAGGAAAGTCAACACATGAGTCAGCCTTCATGCTCCATCACTGCTGGTCAATAAATTCTGGAGTCGCTATTTCTCCTCTAACTTTGAGCTAGAGAAAGGTAAGGAAAGGGAAAGGCAGAGCTGTCAGGACCAGAAAGCATGCTTGAGGAGCTGCTACGTTCTGGAGTGTGTGTTGAGCTGCTCTCTCTCCATTTACCTACATACAGAAGATTTATTTGGGGATCAAATAACATTCAGAGGATTTATACGGCTAGGGTTACTCCAGTGTTTCTGACAAATTACTTCAGGAATCATAAAAAGTAAAAGTATTTTTTTTTTCTGATTTAAGGCCTTATTAAATTATTTTATGTTGAGAAAATGGAGTTGTAGCTGGTTTGATGGAACCTTGAAAATATGTGCAGTCTCATTTGAGCGCTTGTGCTCCAAGTTGGGAATGACTCAGTGCAAAATTAATCGAGTCAAATGAATAGCTATTGAGTGTTTATAATTAGGAATGTCCGATAATATCGGCCTACAGATATTATCGGTCCGATATTGGCATAAAAATATAAAATCTCTACATATCAGTATCAGTTTTTCTTTTGATAACAAAAGCCCGATAAATTAACGCCTGGATTTGACCAAAATGTGTTAAAAAAGGCTTGTGGTCCAGAGATGTGCGATTGATGACATCATCAAACTGGATTAACTCAGGGAGAGCATGATCCAAACTATTGTTTGAGACAAAATATTAAAAATAAATATGGCACTTTTTCCATAACTTCAGTAAAATGGTTTTTATTTTGTACAGACAATGTTCATCTATGGAATGCCTCCAGTGGGGTATCACAGTAAAGTATAGTGTCCCTGACATGAGGGAGATATGTGATGTCACCTTAATATTTGTAATATCGGTTAATATCGGAATCGGAAATTACGGTAAGTGTGGAATAATATCAGCATATCGAATATCTGCAAAAAGTCACTATCATCTGTAGCTGTAACTCAGTGAATGTTGGTTAGCTGTGGTGACCATCTTGAATTAGACAAAAGATAAAATTTACATTAAATTAATGTCCAGTCAATTAAGATATTTTGCTAACAGGCTCCAACAGTTAATGCTAGTTGAGGTTTAAGCAAAGATCTTTAACAATGTGTAGTAAGTGGGATGTGTTGTGAGTGGCTCCCTGCAAGAATCAAAATAGCACAATTGAAATTAGGCAATTAAAGCCATTTTTTGTTTACTAAAGTCAGTTGGCTGTGGCAGCCATCTTGAATTTGTTACATCCAGGGATTCGTTTCTGGAAATTTAATCAAATCTGTCCAGTGGTTCATTGGCTTAATCTACTAAAAGCCTGAATGGACTCAACAGTTAACAGCAACATTTCAAGTGAAATATCGTAAACTCAGATTTTGTGTTGGGGATCAGTCTCACTATCACACCGAACTTTAGGTTAGTCTCTAAAAAACTGACCGAGTCATTATTATGTTGTAACTGGACTCTGGTGGCCACCTTCAAATATGATGCTCATTGAATTAAGCAGTTGAAGATGCACCAATAAACACTGCAAGTTTCATTAAAATCATTCAGTGGTTTGGGATATTTTGCTAACAGACCAGTTTTAAGACAGATGCATGCAGTCTTTGCCATTTTGCCACAGTTGTTGGTGTGTTGTGTGGACGAACACAATCATACATGTGGCATTATTAAAGTTGCTCCAAAGCCCGTTTACTTTCCTCTAGATCTGCAGCGTTTGACTAGTAAAGCTGAATTATTCCCTGTCTCTGCAGGAGGAAGCACAAATGTCACTAAATGTCAAGAACTCGGAGCTTTGGCTTCACTTCCAGGCTTATTAGCTGCACAGATGATCAGCAGGGCCTTGCCCTTTTGGCCAGCACTTCGATTGGTGTGAGCAGCCTGAGCCTCGAATGCAGGAGTTAAAATTACAAATTGAAAAAAGTTAAAAACACCATTTCCACTCCTAATAAATGCATGTTTTTTTCAAAGTGTGTCCAACTCTGCTTACACATTTAGACAAGCATTCCCAGTCAGCAGAGCGGCCTAAAGATAGCAGAGCCCCAGTGGAAACGGTAATTAGTGGGGTGAAGGGAGAAGCAGGAGGAGGAGGAGGAGGAGGAAGAGTTATTGTTTGAATCATCTGATATCTGTTATATAATGACCTGACCTGTACAATGGAGACACACTGAGAGAGAAAGTGGGTTTATGATTTAGAGTGCATGTGTAGGTTTCTGCATGCTGACCCTGTGCTGCAGGAACTGCAGGCGGGACGTCCACAGAACAAACATGAAGAATGCATGAAGTCAGCTCTTCCTCTGAAAGAGTTGTTCTTTTGAGCAGGATGTATTGTAACTTATTATCAAACTAGAGATAAAGCTTTTAGCTGAAAACTAAAAGAAGAAAAGTGCTACTTTGAATCCAACAAGAACAAAACACTAGCTAAATGCTAAAAATAACTAATTCAAGGTAAAAGTAGCAGTCTCCTATCCAAAACACTAAAAGTAGTATGATAATAAAAGTAGCAGACAGCTACCAAAAAGCCTAAACGTTGAAAAAGGCCAGCTAAAATTTAAAAGTAACAAAATTCTAACTCACATCTGAAATACTGTATAGAGAAACACTTGCCAAAATTAGCAGATTGCTAGCCTAGAAGTAGCAAAAGGCTAGTTAATGGTAGCTGAATGGTAGCTAAAAGGAGTGTTGCGTAATGTTTTTAAAAGATGTAAAGACCTCTTTAATTTATTAAAGTTGATAATAGGAAACATTGACATACTGTTCCTGAAAGAGCCGACCGTTCTGGTGCATGAACAACTAAAATAGCACAAAGTTTGTAGAAGTACGGTAGTTTTGTTTTGCTAAAAAACAAAGAAGAAACTATAAACAGGAAAGCAACAGTATGAGCGCTGACTCAGCGTTTCCACAAACAGTGACAACATGAGAGACCACTTTGAATACACATGTGCACAGTTTGCAGCAGATAAATTTATAACTGAATCCTGGTTAAGTTGCTTAAAGACAGACACCCCCCACCCCACTCATTGTCAGTCCTCCTCAGGCTGCAGGTGGTGAGAGGTCACGAGGGGGTTGCTTCTTTATTTTTAAGCCCTAGGCTTTTGTTTAGGACTTGACTCTGTGTGGGTGTGTGTTTTAGTGTGATACACAATGACTGTGTTTACACTGGACTCAATTCATACATGTTCATCCCTGCATCCCCATTCGTTTGCACATGTAGGCTTTTTTTTCTTGTTTAAATAAAAGACGGGTGTTGGGTTTTTGTATTTTTATATCTTAATCGAGTAGACGTTGTTACACAGTTTAGTTGGTAGCAAGTCAGACAAACACATGGGAATTTTAACTACGGGTGTAGTGATTCAAGTTTTCTTGCCAATCTCCGATCTTTTTAAAAGTCTGACCTGCCAATTCCGATTTTGTCTGATAACGACTTTTTACATAGCTGACACTGTCAGATGTTATAAAATCACAATACAACTTCAATGTTCAAATGTTATTTTATTGAAATACGTGGAACAGTACCCTTGAAACTGTACAAACTTGTTTTAACTGGGCATTAGGTAGTGCTCACAGCAAGCAAAAGAGGATAGTGGCTGATTTTCAGATTTTGTGGGGGTAGAAAAGCAGATCTTTTCCGCGGATCTTCGCTGATCTTATCCAAGGATTGGATGATCTCCGAAAAGTAAGGAAATGTATCGGTGCACCCTGAATTTTAACCTATTTTTCTTAGACACAAATGGCTGCATTTCCCCTAGCGGGGGGTGCCTCACTCCCCCAGCAGCAACACCCGCCCCCCAATAAAGGTCACAATGTGCAGTAAGTTATTACACTTTTTGTTTGCACATTAGCAAATTACTGCAACCTGGGTAGATGTAAAAGCTTTTAAATCATCCCCTATCCCAGTGGTTCCCAAACCTTTTCTGATGGGCCCCCCTTTGGTTTATAAAAATAATTTCATGCCCCACCACCACAACCACCACAAACGCACGTTTATTTCTCGACCCGTGGGGACCTTCCATTGACTTCCATTCATGTTTTTTAGCCTTTATATCCTAACCCTGACCATATACCCTAAAATTAACCTCGCAGGTACCTACCTGACCCTAAAACTAACCTAAACCTTGGTCCTAAACTTAACCCCACAGCCATAACTTGCATTTGGACCCATGAGGACCTGGCATTGGTTCCCACAATGCACTTCGGTCCCCGTGAGGCTGCTTTTTTTTTGGTAAAATTCCCACATTGTAGGAAAAACCCGTCCACACACACAGTCTCCAACCACATACACAGATATTTTGTTTTTAAACTCATTTTAGTTTATTTCTCACCACAAAATCTTCTATAACATTTGAACTAATGAAAGAAAACTGAAAAAAGAAATAGATTGCAAGAAATTTCAACCTTTTAAAAAAACATCTTAACCGTAATTATTTAAGTGTAATGTTTTTTTAACTTTGTTAAAATGTTCAACATTGCTTCAATAAAACTTAAAAAAAGACTTTCTGTGCAAAGTGGGTTTTTAAACATGAACAACACCCTGAGAGGAAAAAAAAGTTTTGTTGATAAAGAATAACCATCAAAAACCTGTCCCCTCCACCTCCCCTCCATTCAAGTACACTTCGCTGCAGCATGCAGCTCGGGGGCGGTGACAGACCTTTCCGTCGGTCCCATACCTTATATGGAAATGGGACTATTGCATTCCGGAAATGAAGGGGGCGCTAGTGACACTATTTTCTATTGAACACTATCAACATTAACAATACAAATTTTACAGTAAGGACTTTCTTATCTTTATTTGCACCCATCCTTTTTCTCTTTTATGCAAGTTTGTTTGTTTGTTTGAAATACGCCTTTTTGTTTGTACATTGTATCATTTTGTGTGTTCTTTGTTGTTTAATAAAAATAAATTACAGTAAGGAAATGGCTACACAACGTGTTATGTCACGTGGTATGTCCCTTTTTCTTTTTCCAATCTTTATTAAATCTTTGTTGTTTTTGGATATTACAGTAACAAACTAACCTTAGGCATTAAACCTGTGAGGTTAACCTTAGGCATTAAACCTGTGAGGTTAACCTGAGGGTCTGTGTTTGGGGAGGTGGATAAAAGAAATTAATAAATAATGCTCTGAGTACTTCAACGTGAGTAGAAGAAACTCTCTAACTTCTTCCTTTCTTCTTCCTTTGCTCTCTTACTCCCGCGTCTTTAAGGAGCAACCTTCATTTCCGGAATGCAATAGTCCCATTTCCATATAAGGTATGGCACCGACGGAAAGGTCTGTCACCGCCCCCGAGCTGCATGCTGCAGCGAAGTGTACCTCCCTCCATTCAGTCAAAGCTGCGCCCCACCTGCAATGGCACAGCGCCCCCTCTAGGGGGCGTCCCCCACACTTTGGGAACCGCTGCCCTATCCTCCTACCCCCACTCCCCAAAGATTTTTTTGTGTTATAATATTTAACAACATATTGTGCACAAAACAGTGCTGCGTGTGCTAGTACCTCTGGGGTGTCATTGTTAGCATACCAGAAATGTCTGACTTGTGTGCATGACAACTCCCACTTGCAGTTGGAGAGCACTGGTAACAGTGTTGCAAACCACACAAAAGCCAAAATGCATATCTGTGTGTGTTTTTTTTCTTTTTTACGTGAACGTGGCAGGATTAGAATCAAGATTCTGCTACAGGTCCGAGTGAAGAACTTGACTGCCAAAGACCAGGCCCCACCAGTCGTCTGTCATCAGGCTAGCTTGGGTGTCAGTGGGGAAATACTCCCCCTGGCTGTACATGACTGAACCTGAGTGGCTTTGCAAGAAGACAACTTTGAAGCCTGAATGTGGTTGTTAATTGTCGATAAGTTTGCGACTTTTCATGCCAAGAAGTTCTTGAAATGTTCTTTTAGGAAGCCCTGAAAAATACATGTTTAAATGCACTATTGATGCTACTATTTAAATATTAAGTTTAATTCCGGTGTTAAAAGAAAAACATAAAGCCCAGTCGGTTTAGTGATTTAGGTCTTCCTGCTTGTTTTGTTTTCCTCTGTGCAGGGTGCTGAAGAGACCAGCGGGTTCCCTGTGAGAGGGAACACTGAACAAACATCATGGCCTTAGCAGGATGTCCTGATTACTTCTTACGTCACTCAAACTACCAGGTGAGCTTTTTTAGTGTTGTGTTTGCATGAAACAGGATTATGCTTATTGTTGCTCTAAACCTTAGTTTACATAAAATAATCCTGTGAGCACCAACCTGGGTGAAAAGTACCTGATTTGTGGTTTTAATGTGATTATTAGTTGGCAACACTTAAGTTAAAAATATGTTAGTTGAAAGGGAGAGAATATTTTAATAACATTTTAAATGTAGTGTCATCTATGGACCAGTGTTTGTCTTTATTAAGACATAATGCTTTTTTATACAGTAGGAGTAGAGCCTTGTTACTCAACAGAAACAATGTTCCCTTCAGTTTACTGTATCAGCATTATGGTGCTCTGTTAGCGCTGAGTGTTTTACAGTAATACATGGGTATCTAAAAATAGCAGTTTTGCTATAAACACTCATTAAAAACTCAGCTGGCCCCTCAGATATGATGTGGTTTGTGTGCTGCTCACAGCAGGGTGGGATGCAGAGCAGGTGAGAAGGTGCAGGACTCAAGCCGATGTTTGGCGCAGGTTGCTGGGAGACCCAAAGTAGCTTGAGTGCAGCATGTCTCTGTCACACCATCAGTGAAACACATCAAGTTTAGTTATAGAGAAGGAGAGGAACAGCATTACTATCTCCTTGGATTTTCACAAGTTTCAGTTTGCTCAGGATCTGAACCTGTATGACGACACATCTACTTCTTTGAGTAAGGCCCTGTTACATAACGTTTTAGACAACTTATGAAATATTTGTCCAACACTAAAGATATCTAAGCTGAAGATGGATTTTAAAAACATCAACTGGAAGCCTCTTTTGGACGCATGCATAATGTAATGCTAACAATTAGATCAAAATAAAATAGTCACAACAAAGGTTTAACAAAGTCTGCGTAAGTTGTCTAAAACATTATAGTGTGACAGGGCTTTAAAGTGCCTGTGACATCAATTTTTTTGTAATAAATACTAATGCATTTTTGAAAAGATAACACTAATAACTTATTACAATAAACATTTCATGCCACTGAGATGAACAGGTGTGGAGATATTCACATGTGAAGTAACAGGAAGTGATGTCAGGGGAATGTCTGAATGTAAACAGAGCATTACTACAGTGGTTAGACTGTAGAGAAAAAGCTGATATTTCTTTAGATTATTTTAAATCACCATCAGAGATAAATGAAGAAGTGTCAGAGTTCAAACAATATTGGTTTAATAATAAGCAAAGACCAGACAAATTGATTTCTTAAAGAGATCCCCTTTGATGTCAGTTCCTGTTTTTGTCCAAGCCAAATTAAAAAGAAAATATGCAAGTTATATGACAAAGTGAATAAAATTGTGTGTTTTACAACAAGTTTCATAAATATAAAGCTTTTTTCTTTGACTTTTTGTATTTGAAGGATATGCATGTTATAGGCACTTTAAGGAACAAGGTGACGTCTTGTTGGTGTTTTATGCAAAGCTAAATTAACACAGTTCTGGTAACTATTTGAGATAGTTCGCTTTTTTTGCACTGCTAGCCTTGTGGACATTTTGCTTGTTCTTAAAACTACTATAATCAGGTATTATTATGGCTTTTGCTTCAGAGTAAACGTTTTTGTAGTTTAATAGACTCTCTTGAGTAATGCAAGGGAATATAGTTGGGTCATTAATATTTAAGCTGATTGGATAAGTAATATTAAAACAGAATTTCAAGGTAGACCTGTCGTTAGTTCCTACAGTATAAATTTGTAGCGTTCTGTCAAGTTTAGGCTTCAAAAATTAAATCAAAGCTCCTTAATGCTCACATCCAACATTGTTATTGTTGTGGTGAGTGTCACGTGCACAAGTGTTGTGGCTGTGCAGACTGTCAGCTGAGTGTTGCACAACCAGTGTTCTCCTGATGGTAAGAAAGCAAACATAGGTTCTCATAACTGCTCCTAAGTGGGAACAACAGTCCCCTTAACTCTTGGAAAATACACAGAACTGTTTGAATTTAGTAATTTTTTTAAAAACAAAACGTCTCCTCTTCACTGTAATAGCTCTTACTGCTCTCACACTATCAAGCAGCTGTATATTTCATACTAAAATGAATGAACAAAGCTTAAGGCCAATTTGGATGTTGGAACATTGACTTACCTTTTCCCCATTTTCAGTCTGGTATTTGTACCATACCATTGTCAGGAGAACGTTTCTTTTGTTTAAGTCACAAATCTTTTAGGTCTGAAAAAGCGTCTAAACTGAAGAGATGAACCAGGGTTGTCGACACATTACGGCTAATTAGGCAAAAACACATTTCAAAAATGGGTCTACTAGATATTTGTTACCAGGAACCTCTCTTAGACACTGTTTGTTCCACTTTCTTTTAGGGATGCACGATAACTCATTTTAAGAACTGAAACGGATAACTGATAACTTTCTCCTTCTAATGGCCGATAACCGATAACATGCCAGGAGATAAGACTAGTCAAAAATGGGTAAGATCATAACATAAATAAACAACACCAAAACCAAATGACACTGTAAATTATACCATTTGAAATAAACTCTTAGCAAACAAACACTTCTTAAAATACAGTATATCAAACAAAACAATTTCTCAAATGGCCATCTTTTTAAATAAGGCACATTATAAAAAAGACCTTTAACACTGATCTCAGATTTAAACAAAAGAGAAAAAGTCATTCCACAAGTTCAAAACAGATAATGCACTAACACAAGTTAGATACAATGTAGTAGTTTTATCATTATTAATATGATTTCAAACATTTTTCTACCTGAAACAGTGCTTCTGAGATAATAGTGTAGAAATGATAACCTGTCAATCAAAGTGTGAATGCATTACGACTAAGGATGGGTACCTTTGACATTTGAATCGATTCGGTACCAATATCCGGTACCTGGGAATCGGTACTGGTACTTAACGGTACCAATTTTCGATACTTTGTGTCTGTTGGTTTTTTGAATGATAAACTTTTATTTTTTTAACATATTTCTCAATATATAAAATTAAGAAATATCAAGACAACATCCAACTCTATGTATTGAAACATCAGTTGTGTAACATTTCTTTAAAGTGAAATCTCTTGAAAACAACTAATGTAGTGTTTTGTCTTATTGCACAAATTAAAATCCAGCTCCATGTATTTCTATTGAGGTCATTTCCCCGCTAGAGAAATTGTGTGATGGAGGTCCATGGAAGGCAAATAAGTTTAAATCAAATAAACAAAAGAGGATGGAGTTTAAATAAATAAAAGGTATTCAAGCTACGTTTTGAGCATCCAAAACGCGCCCAACGCTTCAAGTTAGCTGCTTGTGCTCTTTCAGGTCAGACTGTTGGGAAGCACCTCTGTTGTTTTCTTCTGCTGGTCTCTGTTTACTGGTGGATGAAATAAAGAAAGTGGCCGTACTTTATTTACTTTGAGCAAGCAAACGTCGTGCTCACAAGATAATTAATCCACCAGATAATTCAGAGGCGGTCTGTTCGGCGAGTTTTTCTCCAGGAGCTGCGAGACTTTCAAGCTACATTCAGACTGAACTCTCTTTACTGAACCAGCGGCTGCTGACGTCATTACGCTCTTGCGCGATGCTGTGTTCATGACAAGCATGGAAAACTCACGATTCTTACGCCAATACGGTTGCAATGATGCGTTTAGTTACCGAAACATGGTACTGTTTGATGTTAGGTGAATAGGTTCTCGGTAGTATCGACAGAATTCAGTCTGTACTTAAAAAAGTATCGAATTCGGTACCCATCTCTAATTACGACCGCATCATACTTAAAGGAAGACACACAGAGGTAGCGGCTGTTCAGCATGGTAACTGTGGCTAACAAAGAGATAAAAGCTTCGGTCTTTAGCGAGGGTGAACAGCTGGTTGTCATCATTTCCATCGTTAAATTCCTTGAGATCTGCATCCTCTCTGGCAATTTTATTGGATTTGTCAAAAGCCTCAGCAATGATTTAAGTCTCGACGAGTTCTTGAACGCTAGCTTGTTGTTAGCATTTTAGCGATGGACTTTGTGCTACATTCAGCAGATAAAGGACATTACATGTTCTCAAATTGGGAGTAGTTGTTCTGGTGTTTATAATTATAAAATTTGTGTGTAACATACAGGGTTAATTGTTAAAATAATATTAATAATTCTTAAAATGACTGGTTGTTTTTCAACACAGAGTATTCTAATTATTTTTCTAGTGAGAAAGTTGTTTTTTCTGACGCAACTTGACCGTTGCTCGTGTCGTGTCGGACGGGAAGCGGCTTGAGCAAAACGGATAAAAATAAACACGCATTCTCATCGCTGCACTGGCAAATATGTACATATATTATCAGTTCTGTTTGTTATGATATCAGACTGATAAGTATGGCGTCATAATTCCCTGATATCGGGCCGATAACTATCGTGCACCCCTACTTTCTTTAGATGAATTTATACCACAGGTGAGTTTGACAGATTAAAATGTTGTTTTTGGGACCAACATGTTAGTTCTTAAAGAGCTAAAAACACATCGTACTATTGATGATCAGTTGAAAGAGGACTCATTGTCTCAGGTTTTTGCTGGATTTTTGAAATTGGTTTCTAAAGATGTGACTTTCAGATGCAGTTTATAAATGTTTTAAGCACTTGTATGTCACAGTGTATGTTTTTGTCCTTTTACTTGTCCATGTTTTCTGTCATGTCATGAAAATTTGCTGACATGACACAAGGAATAGAGTGAAAAAGCAGCCCAAGTCCAAAGAGAAACTGAAAGACATTTAAAGAGCCTGAAATATTTTAAGACTACTTTACTAGGTTAGGAGAAAGTCTGTGTAGTTTACATTTTTTACACATTGCTGTATGTATTTAACTGTTTCAGGTGCATATAATGTAGACATTTCAAACTTATAAAATAAATAGTAACAATATTTAATGTTGTTTTGCAATGGTTCAAGAACATTGTCTAATTTTTGTGTTAAATAAGAAAATGGTATGTTAAAAGAGAATGCTAAAAAAAAGTAAGACGTCTGGTTGCTTTTTGACTTCATGCATGCCTTAAATTATAAAACTAATATAAAATCTTTGAATTGCTCAAGCTGTGAAGATATTTTATTTATTTATTTATTTATTTATTTATTTATTTATTTATTTATTTATTTATTTATTTTTAGCTAGAAACATTTTTAGACTACTGCTGTCATTAGAAGGTAGGCATGGGTGTAGATGTAGCTAAACTTTTTGTGAATCAATGGGTCTTGCTTCACAGTCAGTGGTCCGCAGCCCTGTTAGGTGATAAATGCCATTTCTGGAACCCAACAAACCCAACTTCCAGTGTCCAACTCCTGCAAAATGAGCCCTTTGTTTGTCAGCCTGGATTTTCTCCCCTTCAGCTCTCCAGAAACCTAAAGAATTTGGCTAAAGAGCATTGTGAAAGTCTATAAATAGATTGCTAAACAAACAACAATAAGAAGCTGTGGACTTTGTTGTGTGACAGGCATGAAAGCGTGGAATTGATGTCATGACGTTTTACTAGGACCGACGGGACGGCGGAGGTTACGTAACCTCAGCTGCTTTATTCATGCTCTTAGTGGAGGTGCAAACACGGAGCTCCCTGCTAACCCAAACCGTGGGACCGCTGAGCCCCGTTGAGCTAACATTAAGTTGGATTTGTTCACATTAGCTTCCAGTAAAGGGTTTTGCACCAGTAAGACTGGACTGAATAGTGAATTGAGTCTCCATAGAAAACAACATTCCTCCACCCTGCATTTTGTGGAGAAAAAAAAACTAAACAGAGTTTTATATCATTACTATTTGTTCTTACGCAAAGCTTCCCATGATGTTAGAATCTGTGGCACTCTCACCCAGTAGAGTTTCTCTCGAGGTATATCTTTGTGTAAATAAGGAGCAAATGAGCCGTTCCTCTGTGTACTTACATAATATACATAATGCTGGGCATGGTTGGAAATGTGGGCGCCCTTCCAGCCCCGTCTCCCGTGTATGCCTGTCTGTCTCTGTGAGAACTTTGGGTCTGTGCCAGAGATTTGTCTGGTTAGGCCAAAAGGAACTCTCTTTATTTTCTGTTTACTTGTTTATAGATTTGCATTAGTAAGCATGTAAAATGCATTACACAGCTCTGTCTCTTCAGAGACTTGTAGCCTAATTGAGTTGTGGCTAGCCTCTCAAAAATGACAAACGTAAGAAAAGAAAGTTTCTTCCCCAAAGTCAGTATTTGTGTTATTTTGTTCTTCATTGTGTCTAATGTAAAAACATGGGCTGCTATTCGTCCCATACATGTCTGCAGATGTTAGTAACTCAGTTTAGCGGTGGCAGATCGTTCTGCTTTCGAGGAAAGGGAAACCATCTGGGTCACAGAAAAGGTAGGATGTTTGCTAATAGAGAAAGAGAGGTCAAGAACAACAACATTGTCAACCCAATTCTTCAAGATTATCAAAATCCTATGAATTAGCTCAAACTTCTGTTGAGTCTAGTTTACTTTTGAATGTTAGATAAAAAGCTAAAAAGCACTGCTACTCTTAACTATGTTCACAAATTCTGGTTGGCGACAAAGTTCCCGGATGCGTTAACGTCACATGAGAACTTTGTGTATTTGCTTCTACCTCCAAAGATGAATCCACATGTCTAACGCCTAATTTAAACTACTTGCGTTCCCTCTCCGCTCCACTCCGGTCCGACCTCCGCAGCAAATACGCACCCATAATAACCAATGAGAGTGTTTACACTGGCTGCGCAGGGTGGTGATGAGCGGACGGCGATCCGTCAAAATTAGAACAGATCCTATTTCTACTAGACTCCGGAGCTGCGCCGGAGTCAGTTTTTAAAAATTATGTCGCACCAACGGGAAAAGAAACGAGCACAACGTCCGTATTTTCAAAATAAGACACTTTAGGCTGGATAATTTGTCGGAATAATGTCGAAATTGCAGCTATATTAATGAATATACGGATATATTTCTACACAAGTGCTGTCAGAATGTATCGTTCTGTTTGGGAAGCAGATAGAAATGTAGCATGAAGCTATGTGTACACACGATACACGTGGATTTTATTTTGAAATTCGAAGTTTCAGAAAGCCGACAGCGAGACAGTTTCAACATAGATACCAAAAGCCTTAATATCGTTGTTTTCAGCTGTGTTTGGAGTTCGTCTTTCACAGAATTAATTATTTTTTGCTGTGACTTCCACATTTATCACTGAATTTATCTCGCAATCTCCTTCCTACACGTCTGTCGGAGCGGAACGGAGGTGATGTAAACTGGACTTGAAACGCACAGCTGCGACCTGCGCAGCGGAGCGGAGACGGAACGCATGTAATGTAAATTAGGGGTCAGAGGAGGCCCACTGTGCCTGAACACCCTGCCAAGACGTTACAAAAACCATCAAGGTCTAACTTGTTTGATTTATTTATTTTGGGTCTTAATGATGTAGCAGGGTCATCATCAATGTGAAGAGGGTCTAATGGGAGAACATGCTTCATTTGAAAGTAAACTATGGACTCGCACCAGGGGAGATTTTTTTTTAAGATAATGGGATATTTACATTTAATTAAGGATATAAATCCAAATTGTTTAAAGAAATTCACAAACTTTTGGAAGGAGTGACAGTTTTCTGTTTGACTTGCCAAAGACCTGGCTGCATGCATTGTAGTATTCTTTATAACCACTGACGTTAATATAAAAACAAACTACACATTAAATATTCTCATTGTCATAATTTCCTCATTGTGATGGAGCAGATGGCACCTACAGTCCTCAGTTTCAATTCTCAGCATTGGTTCACTTACTGGTTTTCAGGTAAGATTTGGGTTGAGAGATATCTCCAAACCACTTAAAAATTAAATTAGATTTGATGGAGACTTTCAGACTGTAGAGTCAGGGAAAGTGCATTACATTTTATAGTGAGGTTTTATGAGGGATAGCAGCCATTAAAACAAACTCTTTTACTGGAAGAGTGCTTTGAATGGATGGAGTCATTTTTTTGTAGGTAGACGTTAATAGAACCTTTACTGATAACTCTTACTGGACCCAGAACTCCAGTCCTCCTCAAACCCCACACAGCTAAACCTTTCTGCTTTGTGAAATGTTGGTCCAGAAGCCAAGCTGATGGGCGAGTGGTCAATTTTAAGCTGTTCAGTTTGTTTTTGGATTGTTTTATCCACATCTTATTATAAAGACGTTTCTCTTGACTCAGACTTTTGGAAAAACACTAAAATTTAAGTGAAGCTGTTCAGGAATTTAGTTTAGTATCCAAGCAGTTGTACCACAGCCCTAGCTGAAGCCTGCAGTCAGCTCTCAGGCCCCGCAGCCAAGCTATCTTCCTTAGAAAACTTTTGGCTGCTTCTTCTCAGAGCTATAAATCTAACTCCTGGCATTTATGGATGTTTTCGAAGTGCAGAGGGGAGATGCGAGTGGGTGTGTATGTACATGCATGCACAGCAGGACTTCTGGCCACGAGCAGTTCCTGGAAGCAAAGCTTCCGCGTTCTTCTTTTTCCAGGAAAAGGGAAGATTTAAAATCTGGCTTTTCTCCTCCCTTTTTCTCCTCCTGCAGCAATTTTTTATTTATTTATTTTTTCCTTCAGGCTGTTTTAATTTAGACAATGTGTGAGGAATGGGACGCTATGTCTCCAGATGTATTAGTGTTTTTAAGCATTAGGGATGTTGTCTTTTTGATTTTAAAATGTTGTGCACATAACGGCGTGTGAAAAATAAAGATTTTATTTTTTGTATCTGAACGAGGGCAGAGACTTGAACTTTATTTGACCATTTCAACTCCAAAAAGTGTTTACAAACACACTTTTTACCTGTTTACTTTTTTCATTAATTATAACTCCTTTTTTTTGACAGAAAAAGATGGAGCACACTTCCTCTCGCCGGCCAGAGGAGCTGATTGTTTCGGGTTATCAACGCTCAGCCAACCAAGCTTCGCCACATCACCATGGTATTTTTTGTGAAATTTTATAATAACTATATGGATTAACCTTCAGTCCCATCATCACTGTTGTACATTATGAAAGAAACAAACACATCTACGTGCTGATGAATGTGTTTCGGCCTCCTTCACTCAGCGCCGTCGTCTTAAAAACAACAGAATGTTGATGGTCTTTGCAGGTTCTTGGCTAGGTCTTCAAGTAAGTAAATATATTTGTGGTGGTAGTGAACAGGGGTACTGGTTGAAGAACATCAGCATGGCTTTGCCTTCAAGAATTTGGAGCAGGATTTGTTGTACCAAACTAGACTACAACTGGAGCTGCACGATTGTTTGAGCATCGTCGCATAGCATAGCTGCATCCTGACGTAGCTGAAGAAGAGCAACTGGTTATGTGGAAAGTAGCAAGATACACTTAAGGACATTTCCAAATTTGCTGTGATCCAACCCTGTTCAAACAGGTGTAGTGTGGTTGTCTTTAAATGTGAAGTCATCATTATGTTCATGCAGGGCTGCACGGTAAATGCGATAGATCAGGGCTATTCAACTAAATTGCTCCAGGGGCCACAGTTTCTGCAGGTCAACAGCTGAGGGGCCGAACATCCAGCAATTAAAGTCATTATGTAAATAAACCAAGTATTACAAAGATCTGTTATCTTTGAAATAATTTATTTTGCTGCCTTTAATCATGAATACAACATACAGAACCCTATAAAAGTAGTGATAATTCAACAATATCAAAAACAAAAAGAACACATTATGCCTCCTATTTGACACAAATATTATTCTGACATCTCTGACTTGCAAAATTTTTAAACCAATTTTATTTTCACTTTCATAGTTCTATCTTCAATTGCTTGTAGTTTTAACTGTCTTGAGTATGCATAGAAATGGTTTATACCAGCTTGTAGCCAAGGTTCTGACTTTTCTGTAGACACCAAACATGTCTATGTTTAACTAAAAGAACTTAGAGTAATTATAGTAGAAAACCAGGGGTTTGGGGTTAAGAGATGAATGAACCAATTGGCGGGCTGAACTTTGGTCACTCGGCCCGCGGGCCGCCAGTTGAAAAACCCTGCGATAGATGGTAGAAACGACATGAAGTTGGCCTACGGTAGAAATTTACCCTCTACCGTCCTGTCGTCAGTTACGTCATCACACCTGTGTCAACAGGGCTGCGAGTGCAGAGACACCTGAGCAGGAGGAGTTTGAAATATTCTGAGAATAAATGAAGAAATATAGCGTTTTAAAACGCGTGTAGAGAATAAATCCTCAAAAATTTGCCCTACCGCTCTAGAAAAGTTGTCGTTTTATAACATCCACTTTATTTTGAAATTGTTGAAAATTTGAGAAATGTTTTTGTTTGCTGTTTAAACCGTTTTGCAATGTATAAAACATTCTGTTGTACTTCTGTTATGTTCATATGCACTACAGCAAAAATGCTGGGTTTGATTATGATTACAGTTTTCTGCAAAATAAATGCTCTAAAAATTACATTATCTTTGCTTTTTATGATAATTTTCTACCGCAGTATATGTATACCTTTACCGTGAAGGCGTTCAATTTATACCATGAAATGAATTTGAGGTCATACCGCCCAGCCCTATGTTAATGCATGACTCACATATAAGTGTCAAATAAAAAAAGATGGTCCTATTTATCATAATTCAAGGGTTTTTAGATAATTAACAGCACCACAAAAGGGAACTAATGTTTGTTTTGCATTGAAAGGTCTGGCCCAGCTCGGTCACAGTTTTTATTACCTCGACCCTGGTTGTTTGCTTTGAGCAGAGTGTTGCCTCGATGTGGGCGGGGATCATGATATCAAAAACAAGAGAATCTTATTCATTTTATTTGTGACATGAACTACATCAAGCCCAAAGGAAAAGTACAGAAGGTTGAACTGGACCGTCCAGCAGCATGATGCTAAAAACAAGACGACAGAAACACAATGAACTTAGGTTTAAACAGTGCAAAAAGGCCAAAGGTTGTGTTTCCAGACCCTGAAAAAAACAAGTTCTCAGAGCCCGTTCTGATGTTCCCACATCTCTTTAACATTTTGGGTCCTTCACTGTAGTCCGGTCAGTTCTCACCATGTTTGGTTGCACCTTCATCTCCACAACAGTTTGATAAAATGTGAAGGCAGGTCCCGTCTGCAGAATTTAATTTCTTCTCCAGTTTTTCGTGCAATTCAAATGATTGTGAAGCTGAATAAAGAGTAAAAAGATGCAGGTGCACAAAGAGGGACCAATCTGTATCACATGTATTTCACCAAACTCAGCGATCTGTACACAAGAGTTTATGGTTGCAGTGCAGGAGAAAGGAAAATTAATAAGAAATGGGACAGTACTGGAGCTGTTCAGATCCATCATCAGCTGTTGTTTTTCCAGTCAGTTAACTGCACAGGTTGATGATGGGTTCAGGTTGATGTAATTCTAATAGTCCAGGGGTCGGATTTATAAAACTTGCGAATGCACAAAATGAGCCCAGAAACTTGCGTACGCCACTTTTCACGCCAAAGTTGTGATTTATAAAATGCAAACTTGACGTGAAAATGTGTGGTGCCTCAGCCAGCTCTGACCCATGCGGATGCTCATTATGGAGACAGGAAGCTGCGACACAGATGGTGAAGTGAGGAATTATAGCCACACCGTGTAATGATCACTGTCAGATATTTAATTTCACTTCATAATCAGACTTGCATTTAAGATAGACTTTAGCTTTCTTAACAGTATAATTTATGCTTCTGCTGCTGAGCCATAAGGACCTTTGAAATAAAAAAACTTAAATCTTAATAAAAGTTCATCTCCTTCCTCCTCCTGACCCACAGACCCCTCCCTGACAAGAAACATTTCAACGAAGCACGACCGCAAAACACGCTTTGGGTGCGTGCGCCCTCTCCAGCGTGGATGTGTTATAAAATAATCACTTTTTAATGTCTGTATTTCTCATGCGCGTGCGGGGTGGGGTGGGGTGGGGGGTGAGGAGATGGTCAGCCGCAGATAACAGAGCAGGCAGGAGGGGGAGGACGGGGGAGAAGAGCGGTGAACTTAACTTTGTCTGACTTGTTTAATTTTATTTATTGTTTTTATCGTCCTGCAGGCTCAGAGAAAATTAATTTGAAGCTGAGTTTTTGATAAAAATCATTAGATTGCTCTAAACGTCTGTAAACCTGCAAAATGAGGGAAAATTTGTGTTGATCACAGACATTCTGTTAATGCGAGCAGCTGTCAGTCAGCACCTGTCAACCTCCAGATGCACGATGGAGCATGTCTGAGCCAATCACTTTTTTTACACTGATCAGCTGACTGATTTAAATACATCTTAACATTCATGAGGTACTTTGCATTGACTGTTTATGGTTGAGTGTGGGCGTGTAGAGCAGTGTTTTTCAACCCTGGTCTTCAAGGCACAGTGCCCTGCATGTTTTAGAGGTCTCCCTGCTTTGACACACCTGCTTCAGGTGATTGCAGTTCATCAAAAACCTTTAGTTACCAAATGAAATCAGCTGTGTTGAAACAGGGAAACATCTAAAACATGCAGGGCCTTGAGTACCAGGGTTGAAAAACACTGGTGTAGAGGGTAGAACCTGAGGCAGGACCTCGTGCGCAAACTCTGAGGTGTGGCTGTGATTATAAATGAAAGGTGCGCAGAAACGTGCGTACGCACGGTTTTATAAATCTGATTTTTTTTTGGTGTACAGAACAGTTCAAGCACAACACTAAAAACATACAAAGTTCATAAAAACACATTCCTACGATGAATAAGTAATACCCCCAGCAGCTCAGATACATAATCGCTAGGTTTGATTGAGTATAGTGATGTCATATAGGACAAAAGATATTTTAAAAACACTTTTTGCCAGAGGAACTCTGAAGCACCTCCCAGACTTCAAAGGCTCAAACGGATCAAAAAGAATGGGTAAGCTATCTAGAATAATTCTGATAGGACCTCCACAAACTCGGTCTGAAGCTGAACACTAGATGTGTGGTCTTGTGGTTGTTCGGCATTCATTTTCACACACACCTCGAGGGAGTATGTGGAGGCCTTTACCTAGGGCTGCAACTAACGATTATTTTAATAATCTATTAATCGGTTGATTATTTTTTCGATTAATCAGCCAAATCATTAAAACACTTAATTACATGAATATGAGTAGATATAAATTAAGTTTACTCCTTAAGGACGCAAGTTATTGATAATGAATAAATCTAAATTTGATTTATCTTATAGATTGATTAACAATTAATTAATAAGCAGCCATTTTTTTTAAAAAAACTGGAGTTTTCTCTTGAATCAAGAGGGGCTTCCCATAAAATGAAGGATTTTTTCATAATCTCCTGAATTAAAAAACAGAAGCACATAATACATATTTTA